AGGTTTTCACCTGTGCAATAAGTCCATCCGTGGAATTTCCTTGCTACTAAATATTCCATGGTCAACAGTTAGTGGTATAACAAAGTGGAAGCTACTGGGAATGACAGCAACTCAGTTACGAAGTGGTAGGCCATGTAAAATGACAGAGCGGGGTCAGCGCATGCTGAAGCACACAGTGCGCAGAAGTCACCAGCTGTGTGCAGAGTCAATAGCTAAAGACCTCCAAACTTCATGTGGCCTTCATATTGGCACAACAACAGTGCAAGGGGAGCTTCATGGAATGGGTTTTTTTCATGGCTGAGCAGCTGCATCAAAGTCTTATATCATCAAGTGCAATGCAAGGCATCGGATGCAGTGGTGTAAAAGTATGCCACCACTGGACTCCAGAGCAGTGGAGATGTGTTCTCTGGAGTGACGAATCACGCTTCTCTGAAATTAACAACAGGTGTACTAGATGGGGCAACAATAAGACGATCCCCAAAACATGAGTGGTTTTACAGGTGAAGGGCACTGAAATGTTTTCCCTACTCTGAACTATTCTGTTTTTCACTAGTTTTTAATTTTGCTAGGGCCAGTGTCACTACTGGCAGCATGAGGCAATACCTGGACCCAAAAGAGGTTGCACAGGCAGTCCAACTCCTCCAGGGTGGCACATCAATATGTGCCATTGCCAGAAGGTTTGCTGTGTCTCCCAGCAAAGTCTCAAGAGCATGGAGGAGATTCCAGGATAAAGGCAGGTACACTAGGACAGCTGGACAGGGCCATAGAAGGTCCTTAACCCTTAACATGGGACATTGTTTTAATTTCAATGAATTTTTATTAAGAGGTTTGAAAACATAACAGATGATGTTATACAGTTCAACAGGAGATGTCGAAATACAAAATAAACAATAGATTTCGTCCCTTCAGTTATTGGGGGATATGGTAGGGACAAGACAATATCAGAGATATTCTAGTTATTATGTTGAACTTGATGAAGTATGAGTTATTGGGGGAGATATAGAACAAAAAAAAAGGAGAGGGGGGGAAGGGCGGGGGGGGGAGGGTATGCAACTTGGAAGGGAGAGGGGGTACCAGTCTAGGGTTGGCTGGTATTTGGTTTTATATTTGCTGTTTCTTAATCAAATTTGTATAGTACATTTTGGGTTATGTAGCCATCGAGCCCATTGAGAGGTGAATTTGTGTTGAGAGGAATTGTTGGATGCAGATCTCTTTTCCATGTCACATGTGCGGGAGTTAGGTGGAAATTTTTCAATTCCGATATGTAGAAGAGCTAATGAAGGGTTTGGGATGGTCAAGGTTCCAGATATTTCTGAGATTAGATTGAAGACACTGTTCCAGTAGGATCTAATGGTTTTGCAGGACCATAGGATGTGCATTGTCGAACCTATGTCATTACACTGTCTCCAGCAGAGCGAGGGGTGGGCCGGATAGTAGGTAGAGAGTTTAACAGGCGTTAGGTACCATTGATGTAGTGTTTTTAAGTATGACTCCCAGTGGGAGGTACACCGGGTGGCTTTGTGTGTAATAGTGAACGCCTTTTCCCAAGATTGATTTGAAATCTGTTTCGAGAGTATTTTTTCCCAGTTTGTTAGGGAAGTAGTTTGCATGGCAAATTGTAGATTATTGAGGAGCGAATAAAAGGTTGAAATACCTCTACCGGGATATTTGTTTTTTGGTGAGGAAGTGGTATACGATAATGGGAATTTTTGTAGAGTGGGATACTTTAGTTGTTTGTAAGCAATGTATAATTCTTCAGTAGGTGAAGTATTCGGTAGAAGGAAGTTTATATTTGATTTGGATATTTTGGAATGAGTGTGGGACTTGGTCGTTGTAGAGATCAGTGATGTGTAGTATGCCCTGTTTTGTCCATTGGGTTAAGTTTAAGGAAGGTGTAAGGGCATGTAGTAAATTGAGTGGAGTGGAGTATAAGGTGTTTGATGTCGGTAAAGTTGATGGTAAGAAGATCTTGCCAAGCTTGTAGTGTAGCTTTGATGCATGGATGTTTCCATCTATTTTCAAGTTGGGCTGTATGTGGTGTTAGAAGTAGATTTTGGGGGTCAAGAGGGTGAAATGGTATAGTTTCCATGGTGGACCATATTTTTTCCTTTGAAGGGTTCCACCAAAAATATATTTGGTCAAGTAGAGTGGCATTATAGTAGGATTTCAAATGGGGGAGGCCTGCTCAACCTCTGGTTGTAGTGCGTATGAGAAGGTTAGTAGTGCATCTGGGTTTTTTGGAGTTCCGTAGGAATTTTGTGAATATTATTTGCAGCTTGGAAAAAAACATATTTGGAACTGGTATTGGAAGGATGCGGAATATGTATAGTATTTTGGATAGTATGTACATTTTCAGAGTCGCAACTCGGCCTAGTTTGGAGAGTTCTGAAGTGCGGAGAGTGGTAATTTCATGGGGGATAGTTTCAAGTAATTTCTTGTGGTTTGCTAAGTATAGTTGATCTGTTGTTGCCGTTAGTCTGATTCCTAGATATGGGATACTTTGGGTTTCCCAGGAAAATGGAAATTGTGTAGTTAGTAATTTTTGGTCTTGGGGTGATACATAAAGATTTAGTATTGAGGATTTGGGTTCATTAAGTTTATAGTAGGAGACTTTTGAGTAGATATGGAGATGGTTGCGAATTGTTGTGAGGGATTTGTTGGGGTTAGTCACCATCAAGATGATGTGACTGATTTTATGTTCTGTGTTGAAGTGTTTGATGCCGGTAAATGTTGGGTCATCTCTGAGTTTGGCAGCTAAGGGTTCAATGAGGAGTGCAAATATTATTGGGGAAAGAGGGCACCCTTGTCTGGTACCATTTGTGATGTCAAAAGAATCAGAGAGTGTGCCATCTGTTAGCACTCTAGCCGAGGGGTATGAGTACAATGATAGTATGGCTGTCAACATCCAACCTGTAATTCCAAATTTCTGGAGTGTGAGTTGCATAAATTTCCAGTGTATGCGGTCAAATGCCTTTTCTTCATCTAGGGATAGAAGCAAAGAGGGGTATTTGGAAAACTGTAGATTGTGGAGGAGTGATATTATTCTTCTTGTAGCATCTGGTGCTTGGCGACCTGGAATGAAACCTACTTGGTCCGGATGGATTAAGGTTGGGAGATAAGGGAGAAGTCTTCGTGAAATGATTATTGCGTAGAGTTTTATATCGGCATTAAGTAATGATATCGGCCTATAGTTTTGGACAAGTTGTGGGTCTTTTCCGGTGTCAGGAATGGACTGGCCAGCAATGGTGGGACTCACCTGCCTTTTGATCTGCAGTACCAGGGCTGGCCAGCGGGTGCTCCCAGCAATCAGAGACTCAACCTTTCAGCCAGCTAACACCTGGAACTGATGATATTGGTGTATTTAAGGGATGGCCAGACTTGTAGACTCTGCCTTGGTGTTGTGTTTGTCCTGGGCCCTGTATCTGTCCTGCATCCTGTTTCTGTTCCTTTGCTACCTGTTCTGATCCCTGGCTTGTGACCCTGACCATCCCTCTGCCTGACCCTCTGTACTACGCTGCTTGCTACCTGTTCTGATCCCTGGCTTGTGACCCTGACCATCCCTCTGCCTGACCCTCTGTACTACGCTGCTTGCTACCTGCTGAACCTGGCCTGTGACCCCGACCATTCTCTGCTTGCTCCCCCTGTACCTACCTGCCCAATTGATATTGACTCGGCCTGCCTGACGACGCTTGCTTGTATGTACTGTTATCTGTGGGTGGTTGGTTGGGTTTGTTTGCACTGTATTATGTTTAGTATTGCACTGCGTTTATGTTTGTATTGTTAGTGTTAATAAATTACATTGTTAATCACATATCTGAAGTCTGCGTTTCCCTGCTTCAGTCACACACCTCTGGTCATACCTGGGAGCCCTGACATTACACCAAGGCCAATCCTGACCAGAAGTGGCTGCACAGGGAAGCCATCTTGGCTTGTTGATGGGAAGGATGGATCTGGATGAGGTTGCGTATTTATATCTGCTAGTGTTTGATGACAGGGAGTATGCTTATCAAACTCTGAAGGAGTATACCCGGGATCAACTACTAGAATGTATACGGCTCGCTCATGTTCTAGTAGATCAGGGCACAGAGTTCTCTGAGGTGCAGCCTTTGATTGAGGTTTGTGCAGAGTTGGTTTCATCTGGTACCCCCGAATGCAGGGATGAATTTTTGCCACCATTTAGTGCAGACCAGGTAGAGTCCCTGGTGTGGTTATTAGAGGATGATGTGGGTTACTTTCTGGAGCGTTATTCCACATGTTCACCACAGACACTAAGAGATTGTATAAACGCAGTGCAGTCATTGACCAGACAGGCTTTGTGTAAGCTCAGCTTTGTTCAACCCCTACTGCAGACATGGACAGACTTGTTGCACCCAGCCTCAGTCAGCTTACAAAAACCCAGTCCTGCTTCTAACTCTACTCCTGTATTCCCAACAGCTCCTCCAGTTACAGCCCAGTATACTTGGCTATCTACCGCATGTCAGTACCCTGTTCCCACTCGCTGCACCTATCCTGCCTTTAACCCTGTAAAAAAGCCCTCTGTAGCAACTGCTCCCTCTCCTGTTCCATCCTCCAGTTCTTCTCTGTCTCCAGCTGCTCCATTCGTTTGCAGACCTGCGTTTACTTGCAGTGCTCCAGTAGTTAAAACCAGAAAAAAGCAAAAATTCTTTCCAACCAATACCATCCTGCCAGTATCCAAACCGGTGAGCCTGCCTTCCGTGGTTCAGCCTGAAGCCTCTACTCAGCCTGAAGCCTCTACTCAGCCTGATGCCTGTACTCGGCCCTGATGCCTGTACGCAGCCTGATGCCTCTCTTCAGCCTGATGCCGGTACGCAGCCTGATGCCTCTCTTCAGCCTGATGCCTGTATGCAGCCTGATGCCTCTCTTCAGCCTGATGCCTCTACTCGGCCTGATGCCTCTACTCGGCCTGATGCCTCTATTCGGCCTGAAGCCTCTACTCGGCCTGAAGCCTCTACTCGGCCTGATGCCTCTACTCTCGGCCTGATGCCTCTACTCGGCCTGAAGCCTCTACTCGGCCTGATGCCTCTACTCGGCCTGAAGCCTCTACTCGGCCTGATGCCCTCTACTCGGCCTGATGCCTCTACTCGGCCTGAAGCCTCTACTCGGCCTGAAGCCTCTACTCAGCCGGACGCCGGCATTCAGCCTGATGCCTCTACCCAGCATGATGAACTGATCCAGCCTGACGATCCTATTAGGCCAGTTGACTCGATGCCCGCTGTTGATCCAGATGATCCGGTACCTGATCCGGTGCCCGCTGTCGTGCCAATTGACTCAGAGCCCGCTGTCGTACCTGGTGACTCGGTGCCCACTGCCTTGCCAGATGACGCGGTGCCCGCTGGCGAGCCAAATGACCTGATGCCTGGTGACCCAGTGCCCGCTGTCATACCTGGTGACCCGATGCCCGCTGTCGAGCCAGACGATCCAATGCCTGGTGACCCGGTGCCCACTGCCTTGCCAGATGACGCGGTGCCCGCTGGCAAGCCAAATGACCTGATGACTGGTGACCCAGTGCCCGCTGTCATACCTGGTGACCCGATGCCTGCTGTCGAGCCAGACAATCCGGTACCTGATGACCCGGTGCCCACTGTCGTGCCTGTTGACTCGGAGCCCACTGCCTTGCCAGATGACGCGGTGCCCGCTGTCGAGCCAAATGACCTGATGCCTGGTGACCCGATGCCCGCTGTCCAGCCAGACGATTCAATGTCTGCCCCAGTGCCCGCGGTCATGCCAGTTGACTCGGAACCCACTGCCTTGCCAGATGACGCGGTGCTCGCTGTCAAGCCAAATGACCTGATGCCTGGTGACCCGATGCCCGCTGTCCAGTCAGACGATCCAATGTCTGACCCAGTGCCCGCGGTCATACCAGTTGACTCGGAGCCCACTGCCTTGCCAGATGACGTGGTGCCCGCGGTCGAGCCAAATGACCTGATGCCTGGTGACCCGATGCCCGCTGTCCGGTCAGACGATCCAATGTCTGACCCAGTGCCCGCGGTCATACCAGTTGACTCGGAGCCCACTGCCTTGCCAGATGACACGGTGCCCGCTGTCGAGCCAAATGACCTGATGCCTGGTGACCCAATGCCCGCTGTCCAGCCAGACGATCCAATGTCTGACCTAGTGCCAGCGGTCATGCCAGTTGACTCGGAGCCCACTGTCGTGCCTGGTGACTCGGTGCCCGCTGCTCCGCCTGGGGGCCCGAGACCTGTCGCTCCGCCTGGGGGTCCAGCGCCCGCCGCTCCACCTGGGGGTCCGGCGCCCGCCGCCCCGCCTGGGGGCCCGAGACCTGTCGGTCCGCCTGAAGGCCCGAGACCTGTCGCACCGCCTGGGGGTCCGGCGCCCGCCGCTCCGCCTGAGGGCCCGAGACCTGTCGCTCCACCTGGGGGTCCGGTGCCCGCCGCTCCGCCTGAGGGCCCGAGACCTGTCGCTCCACCTGGGGGTCCGGCGCCCGCCGCTCCGCCTGAGGGCCAGAGACCTGTCGCTCCGCCTGGGGGCCCGAGACCTGTCGCTCCACCCGGGGGTCCGGCGCCCGCCGTTCCGCCTGAGGGCCCGAGACCTGTCGCTCCACCCGGGGGTCCGGCGCCGCCGCTCCGCCTGAGGGCCCGAGACCTGTAGTTCCGCCTGGGGGTTCGGCGCCCGCCGCTCCGCCCGGGGGCCCGATGCCTGTCGCCCCGCCCGAGGGCCCGATGCCTGTCGCCCCGCCCGAGGGCCCGATGCCTGTCGCCCCGCCTGGGGGCCCGAGGCCTGTTGCCCCGCCCGGGGGCCCGAGGCCTGTCGCCCCACCCGGGGGCCCGAGGCCTGTCGCCCCGCCCGGGGGCCCGGTGCCTGCCGCTCCGCCCGGGGGCCCGGTGCCTGCCGCTCCGCCCGGTGGCCCGCTGCCTGCCGCTTTGCCTGGTAGCCCGATGTGCCTCTGCCCGGAGTCCTGCCCGATGTGCCTCTGCCCGGAGTCCTGCCCGATGTGCCTCTGCCCGGAGTCCAGCCCGATGTGCCTCTGCCCGGAGTCCAGCCCGATGTGCCTCTGCCCGGAGTCCAGCCCGATGTGCCTCTGCCCGGAGTCCAGCCCGATGTGCCTCTGCCCGGAGTCCAGCCCGATGTGCCTCTGCCCGGTGTGGCTCTGCCCGGTGTGCCTCTGCCCGGAGTCCAGCCCGATGTGCCTCTGCCCGGTGTACCGCTGCCCGGAGTCCTGCCCGGTGTGCCAGTCTTTGATATCCCGCCAGTTACCAGACCCGGGCGGTGGAACATTTTTCCCAGCTAGGACTGTTTGGAGCGTCCTGAGGCCGCTCCTTGAGGGGGGGGGGTACTGTCAGGAATGGACTGGCCAGCAATGGTGGGACTCACCTGCCTTTTGATCTGCAGTACCAGGGCTGGCCAGCGGGTGCTCCCAGCAATCAGAGACTCAACCTTTCAGCCAGCTAACACCTGGAACTGATGATACTGGTGTATTTAAGGGATGGCCAGACTTGTAGACTCTGCCTTGGTGTTGTGTTTGTCCTGGGCCCTGTATCTGTCCTGCATCCTGTTTCTGTTCCTTTGCTACCTGTTCTGATCCCTGGCTTGTGACCCTGACCATCCCTCTGCCTGACCCTCTGTACTACGCTGCTTGCTACCTGTTCTGATCCCTGGCTTGTGACCCTGACCATCCCTCTGCCTGACCCTCTGTACTACGCTGCTTGCTACCTGCTGAACCTGGCCTGTGACCCCGACCATTCTCCGCTTGCTCCCCCTGTACCTACCTGCCCAATTGATATTGACTCGGCCTGCCTGACGACGCTTGCTTGTATGTACTGTTATCTGTGGGTGGTTGGTTGGGTTTGTTTGCACTGTATTATGTTTAGTATTGCACTGCGTTTATGTTTGTATTGTTAGTGTTAATAAATTACATTGTTAATCACATATCTGAAGTCTGCGTTTCCCTGCTTCAGTCACACACCTCTGGTCATACCTGGGAGCCCTGACATCCGGGTTTTGGTATAGTTGTGATAATAGATTGTAGCATGTCTCTAGGGAATGTGCCAGTTTCAGCTGCGTTATTAAAAAGTCTGGTCAAGTATGGTGATAGTTCTGGGGCAAATAGTTTGTAATACTCGTTTGTATATCCGTCATTTCCCGGAGATTTGTGTAACGGTAGTGTTTTGATAGTCGTTTCTATCTCTTTGGAAGAAATTGGGGTTGAGATGTCAGTAAGTTGTGATGGTGAAAGTTGGGGGAGGTTTGTTGTATGTAAGAATGTTTTGTATGGATGCGGATGTAGGTTGTGTGGTGGTAGGGTCATTTTTAAGGTTGTGTATAGGTTCTGATTGTATTTTGTGAATGCGTTAGCTATGTCTTGCGGATTAGTATATTATGGTATGAGTAGTTGGGTGTTTAATTGATGTAATTTTAGATTTAAGTCGTTTTTGTTTAATGATTTTGGATAGCATTGAATTGGCTTTGTTACCTAGTGAGTAATATCTCGATTTCATCTTTTGTAGATTAATATCGTATTTATATAATAAAAGGGATCTTAGTTTGTTCTCTCTCTGCATTAAGAGATGAGGAGATTAAGGGATCTGGTGATGCTTTGTTGATTTTTTCTTTTGATTTAATGGAGGAGAGGAGTTTATCTATTTGTTGGTTTCTTTGTTTCGTGACGTGGGAATTAAGTTGTATAAGAATACCTCTCATGTATGCCTTGTAAGTAGCCCACAATGTGGAGATAGATATATCAGCTGTGTCATTGAGTTCAAAGAATGTGCGATGCGCTTCCAAAATGCGTTTGAGATCTGGGTTTTTCAGTAGGGAGGAGTTCAGTCGCCATAATCCACAGGATCTGTGGGTATTGATTGTGGTCAAGGGGATAGTAATCGGGGCATGGTCAGACCATGTGATGGTGCCTATCTTGGAGGAAGTGATGTGTTGCAAAGTCCATTTGTCGGTGATGAAGAAGTCTATGCGAGAGTAGGATAAATGAGATGGAGAATAGTAGGTATAGTCTCTTTCCGTGCTGTGTTGGCATCGCCAGGCATCATAAAAATTGTTAGAATGTAGAAAGTGGTTAAAGGTCTGCTTAGGGGCACGTCTATTGGAGGAGGAGTCTAGGAGCGGGTTACCGATGATGTTGAAATCCCCGCCAACGATTAGTCTGCCTTTTCTATGTTGAGAGATGATCGCATTGAGTTTGTTGAAAAAATTGAAAATGGTTAGTATTTGGACCGTAGACATTGACTAGAGTATATGGAATGTCCGTGATTTTACAAATCAAAATGTGGTAGCGTCCTTGTGGGTCTACTATTTCGGATATGAATTGGTATTGGAGGGAATCCTTAATGGCCGTGATAGTCCATTTTTTTTCTTGGGATTTGTTGACATGTAGGTTGATGTTTAGTGGTGGATCTTGAACTTGGGGATTTTAGTAGAGGCGAAGTGGGTCTCTTGTAAGAATAATACGTCTGCTTGTAAAGATCTAGCTTCCTTTGAAAGTAAGGATCTCTTGTAAGGTGAGTTGAGGCCTCTGACATTCAGCGAAGATATTTTAATCATTTTTCTTTACGTTGATGATTTGTATAAGATATTGGAGTTTTTTCCAAGAAAATGGAGAAAAATTAGGTGTTTCATGGCGATGGTGGTATTTATCTAATGAGGACCTGTTGTGAGCTCGTGTCGGTCTTTTCTGTAGAAAAAGGTTTTCATCTTGTATTGGAGAACTGTGGGGAAGGTAGATTCGTTCTAGTTGACTGGTACCATGGGTGAGGAGAAGGAATAAAAAGAACTTGTAAAAAAAACAAGTGAAATGGGTAGCATTAAATGCTACTTCATAACATGAAGGCTTGAGCAAACATGGTTCCCTAAGGGAATCATGCTGGAAGGAATTTTGAAGTGTGAGGAAGTTCATACTAGGCACTGTGCCAGTTGCATTTGGTTATGGAACAATGCCCGTTTTGCGGTGTGCTGAGCAGTGCAGGTTGGTTTGGAGTTTTGGCTATTCTGCGTCCATTTGCTGCGTCCATTTGGAAGCGGGTTGATGAGAGTCCTCCGGAATGATATTCCACGTTTTCAGGAGTTCTGTACCTGCTTCTAAGGATTTAATTGCGTAGATCCTGCCTTGATGTTTAACGGTTAGTTTCGTGGGAAAACCCCATTGGTATCCTATACCGTAGTTCCGTAAAGCTTTCGTTATGGTGATGAGTTTCTTTCGGTTGAGAAGTGTTGTTTTGGATAGGTCGGCAAATAATTTGATATTTGCATGTGTTGATGGTAATGAATTGGGGTTTCTGGCAGCTATCATTATCTTCTCTTTCACATGATAAAAGTGAATGCATGCCAATGTATCTCTGGGTATTGCGGCCGGAAGAAATGATGGTTTGGGGATGCGATGTGCCCGGTCTATGGCTAATTCCAATCAGTGGAGTGTAGGAATGATATGCTTCATAAAGTTGTTGGATGAATGTGACTATGGCGTCCGCTGTAATGGACTCGGGAATACCACGGAATTTTATGTTATTGCTCCTGGAGCGATCCTCCAAGTCTGCTAATTTGAGGTTTATTTGATCAATCTCTGTAGTATGATCTGCGTGTGCGTCTATGAGGTCGTTGTGTGCGGCGCACAAGCAAAACAGAGAAGTACATTGATGGCAAGGATTACATTTAGTCAAGACCAATAGAGTCATATATTAACAGTGCGTTAATAATCAGGGTCTTACATTTCAGGCCAGCATAGAGGAAGAGAAATTATCCCACGGGAGCCAGATCATCTCAAATACAGCAAACAAACCACTATGTGAAGCAGTCAAACACTCCATCTGTCTTACATCGGCAATACGTTTATACAAAGTTGGTAATGAAGGTGGAGTAGAGGATAACCAACACATAGAAATACTTCTCCTGGCCGCTGTTAGCACATGTGCAGCAAGTTTTCTGGCTAGTTTAGGTAGACCCAGGAATGGCAAGCCCAGCAAAAAATGCAATGGGTCAAATGGGAGAGAAACATGCAACAACGATTGCAACAAGGAGCGAACCTCTTCCCAAAGGAGCAATGGAGCTGCAGGTCCAAAAAATATGATAAAGAGAGCCAGAAGCTCTACTACAGCGCCAGCAAGCAGGAGAAGCACTCGGATTATAAACATGAAGAACTTCTGGTGTTTTGTACCACAACATCATAATCTTGTATATATTTTCCTTAAAAACCACACAAATAGAGGATTTAGATGCATTGTCCCATATTTTCTTCCATGACAATAAGTCAATATCACGTTGTATAAATTGAGACCATCTACGCATATAGAGGTGAGCGTCATTGGACAAAGGGGGGCCTCCATAAGAACTTTATAGGTGCTAGAGACAATACCCCTTTGGTGGGGACCTTCCATACATAGACGTTCAAAGGGGGTAGGTTTCCCTAAGCTCAATGAGGGAGATAGAGTAGAGAAAAAGTGGTGTATTTGAAGGTATATATACAGATGGCGAGAGGGTAGAGAGGCTTTCCTCTGGAGATCCGAGAATGAATGCAACTTACGAGTCACCGGGTGTACCAAGTGACGTAGTTGAAAAAGGTTAGATCCTACCCAGAGAGACATCCGGGACTTGCCATATTGTCTGGAAGATTAGGGTTATAAAGGATATTTGTCAGTGGGGAGCAATCAGAGGCCAATGTGATTTTAGCCTTACATTTCTGCCAAACATTCAATGAGAAAAGCATGACCTAGGAATAAGTGTCGAAAAGAAAGGACTTCCACTGCTGAGGTCGACCAGAGAAGGGAACACGGATGAACAGGGGACAATTGCAAAGACTCAATCTCAGTCCATGTATTGGGAGGGTAGTGGGTGGACCATGACATGAGAAAGCGAAGGTGGGTTGCAAAGTAGTATGTTATTA